TATATTTGATCACGTGATATTTACATACTAGACATCTGTCATTTTTAAATACCTACCATATGATTTAAATTTAAAAAAGTTTGGGTTACTAAATTTTAAATTAAAAACGTCTAGACCGATCCTGTAGATTACATTTTGAGATTCCGGCGTCAATAAATTATTAAGATTTAATAAGCCCAGACATGATATTATTATATTGTATACTGATTATTGATAACGATGAGTATAAAATACTCCGTATATTATTCATTAGATATATAATAGGTACATTACAAAATGCAGTATCTAGGTACCTATAGAAACCGCTTGTTAGACGTTAGTTACAATAAGAATAATTCAAGTTCGTTTACCAATAGATATAAATGAACGAGAAATTGAGAAGTATAATGTAATATGTTACCTATATTAAATAACACACAAGTCCCCGGTTCAATGCCCATTATATCAATTAGAAATTTGTCACGGTGCTCTGCCTATGAGATTTTATATACATAGATTTGTCATATTGATATAGGTATTATATATTATTACGTATGGACAGTCACATAAAACATTTTCAATGTTTGATAATAAATAATACATATTTAATGTGTGAATCACAATGTATAAATATATATTAGTATAATATAATATAGGACTACCTATCCAGTATCAAATAGCTAACACACACGTATAGGTGTAATATGGCCAATATGGGTACTGCCTCATCTCTATGAAATTAACACATAATAGTTATTTAGTAATAGGTACTTTGTTTCCTGTTTTAATGCGATTATGATGGGAAGGATATTGTTTGCATTATGTACCAATATTTATATATATATATATATATTAGTAGGAAAAAAAAAAGATGGACGCTAATTGGCAGAGCTTGTGGAGGCTAAGCCCTCTTACAAATATAAAATTAGACCACCAAAACTAATGCTATTTACCAACTTAAGTACTCGACATTTGTAATAATATATTTAATTTTCATGAAATATATTAATAAACAAACATAACTAATCTGTAGTTATGTAAGATTATCATTTAAAAATGATAAATTTATAATAACATGCGCCTATTACTTAAATAATTAAACTCATTAATAACCAAATAATATTTGTATTACTTATTAATAAGTATTACTGGTACCAAGTTAAAATAGTTCATTAAATAGTTAGATCTAAAATCTATTTTTAAGATAATTGCAAAATATATTTATTATTTTTACTTTTGTAGTCAATAACATCTCATAGCTGTTATAATCACAATAAGTTTTACCGTACAAATTTAAAATATTTTATGTTGTATTATTTTTTTTTACCACATATTTTAGATAAAATAAATTTTTTATTCTAGTAATATGAGTTAAAATACAAACCCATAAATATGTTATAGGACTTAAATTTTAGGGCCCCATTTGCATGTCGGGGGATGCCCAGGTACACCCGGAACCCCCTGTGCGCACGCCTATGATTTTAAATTTAAACTGTACTTAACTAGATTTTGTAGTTTGAATGAATGGCAATAATTTACAAATTAATTACATTTTGGTATTCACAGATTTTCTACAGGCCATAATGAATACCTAATTTGATATACCTATAGTAAAAAAAAAAAAAAACATTTGTTTTTCTTTCATTCAAATGTTATTATATGATATAAAAATTTTCAGAGATACAAATTAAAATCAAATGATTACCAACCTATTGTTATAACTTATGACTTAACAATAGACTAAGGGTTCCTTCTATCCCCAGTAGTAAGCTATATTGCCAACATCCATTACTTAAACTATTAACTATAAAGGCTAGTGTAATTCATACTTTTATCTAAAATAAAATAAAAATAGATCAATTAGTAAATTTGACGAAGAAATTATAATATTTTATTGACATTTATCAATTAATTTATTGCCATTAGCTAACCTAAATTATTTTAATACTCAAATGCCTAACATTTTTTTCTACTTTAATATCCAACAATGATAAAATAAAACTTAGCAAATTATCATTTTAAATAATAAAATAATAACTTTTTTTTTTTAATATTTTATTAAATATTTTTGATAATGGTAAATTTAGTAAAATAAATAATAATAAAATAAAAAATAAAAATATTTTCTATTTTTATATATATTTTTTAGAAAATTGCATTGATCAAAATGTGTAATCAAGTATCTATGCTTATGTCACATATTATAATATTTAATAACCAAAAACAAACTTATATTAGTTTTTTTTTACAAAATAAAACATTAATAAATTGTATTCAAATAATTTACAATAGATTCATTTTGATAAAAATATTAATATTTGAATCAATAGTACCAACATAATAAGTAAAACTAGAGTAATTATCATATGGGAAGAGAAACAACTGCACAAGATAATTATCTATCTTACTTTATGGAATTTGTACAGATGAAAAAGTACATAACATATTTTAGAAAAAGAGTTTGTTTACAAGTTATTTATTTGCCTAAACCACCCATTAAATTACCAAGACCTCCTCCAGCACCTTGTTGTAACTGACGCATAACATTTTGCAATCCTGGCATTCCACCTAAAAATATTTATTATTTATTAGTTAATAAAATTTTTTTGTAAATTAAAAGATTTAAATATTTACAAAACAAGATAATTTTATAATTTTTAGAACTACTTAGCTTATAAACATACCAATTTGTTGTAAAACCCTAGGATCCATCATTTTCGTGATTTGTTGATTAAGCTTAGCCATTTGTGATGGATTGACATTTTTGGACATATCACCACTCTTAAATAATCCTTTAATTCCACCCATTTTTTTTACAACTCCAGCAAACTTTGTATATTGAGATATAAGCTCTCGTACTTCACGTTCTGTAACACCAGCTCCTTGAGAAACTCTAATAATACGTCCTGGTTGTTTTGTAAACAATTTTGCTCCATCTCTATGGTCGAGTTCTATAAAATTTAAGCATAATGTTTTTTTTTTTTAATTTTATTTTCCAACTAATAATAAAACTTTACATTAAATTGTATTAAAATAATTCACCTCCATCGTTCATACTGTCCATGATTGTCATAAGCTTTTTTAATCGAGCCATAGATTCCATTTCACTACCTTTAGATAAAAAATCTTGACTGAATCCTGGTATCATACCCTATAAAAAAAATTAAAAAAAATATAGGTCCATTAATAATAATCTTAACTATAGAAAATCAATAAAAGTTTACCATGATTTGTGAAAATGGACCCATCTTCATTATATTTTGAAATTGCTCATACATATCTCTAATTGTAAATTGTCCATGTTTTATTTTTTCAATTAGTTCCTCATTATCTTCCAGTTTTAATTCATTAACTTTGTCAATGAGTCCTTCAATATCTCCCATACCAAGCAGTTTTGAGACAAACGGCTTTGTTTTGAATGGTTCAAAATCATCTATATGTTCTCCAGTACCAATAAAAATAATTGGACTTTTTGTAGCTGCCACACTGGTTAACAAATTTAACAAATTATAAACATCTTGTACTGATATATATTAAATAAACAATCAATAAATGAACAAAGAGTTTTTAAAATAAAATTTAATATGAAAGACATCAATAGAATTAAAATAAATTCCAACAACTTACGCACTAAGTGCTCCTCCTCCTTTTGCATGGCCATCAAGTTTAGTTATCACTACAGAACCAATGTTAACTTTATCTTTAAAAGCTCGAGCTTGTCCTTCACAAGCTTGACCAATTGTTGCGTCCATAACAAATACTATGTTATCAGGTTTCTAAAACAAATAAAATATGAAATTTTAATGAGATAAAGAAACATGTATATTGAAGTTTTCTCACAATAGTATTTGAAACTTGTAACATCTCTTCAAATAGGGAAGCTTCTTGTTTATGTCTTCCACTAGTGTCAACAACAATTATTTCAAAACCTTCTTTTTTAAACATATCTACACCATCTTGAGCTATCACAACAGGATCTACTTCTGTGTAACTAAAATAATAATTATAAATATTTATAAGATTCAGCTATATAATAATTTGCATAGACATTCAATATTTATATTATAGTTAGCATCATACAATAACAAATAAATAAAAGTTAATTAGCTTAGCATACCTTCCGTAAAACGGAATTTGAGCTTTAGTAGCATTCTGTTTTAACTGATCATATGCTCCAGCACGAAAGGTATCCGCACATACCAGACAAGTTTTCCAATTTTTTTTTAGATAGTAATATGCCAACTTAGTACAAGTTGTTGTCTTACCAGAACCCTGTAGACCGACAAACATGATAATGTTTGGTCGACCTTTTACTGGCTGGTAAGATTTCACACCAGGATCTACTAGCTGAAATCAAATCAAAATGTTTGTGAGATTAAACAAAGTTACCATTAAGGCAAGAGTGAGACATCATACTTTCACAAGTTCTTTAAATACTGCGCTCTGTATCATGCGTCTCTTGTTCAGACCTCCGGCCATCTCATCAAAATCAATGACATTACGCACATTCTCTCTAAGTTTTTTGACTAGCATAACATTGACGTTGGCTTCGAGCAGTGCCGCACAGATATCTTTCAGCATAGAGTTCAACACCTACGGTAGACATATATAATTCGAACTTAACATATTTTCAATATACACCATAAACCATTTACGTACCTCCTCGTTGATGACGCTGGCGTTGTTCAGACCCCGAAGGGCTGAAGTGATCTTGCGGCCCAAATCGGCCAAAACCATTTTGACGTTGGTTTATCCCAAAAAAAATATTAGTAAGTATACTAGTCCATGTAGAAAGCTTGTTTTGAAATTTCACTTATTAGTTATTATCATCGATTTGATAATAACTCAACTACGTACACGACGGACTATCACAGTCCAACTGTGTGGTAGTTTATACAGTGTTGCCTTATAAGAGCGAAAAGTAAGTTTACGTTTTTTGGATCAAAATAAATCATTTTAGAGCGTCAAATCTTATCACAGATGTTATCAAACTTAAATCGTGGAATAAGACGAATAACTATTTAATAACTAATATTATGCTCTATCTATATAATACCTATAAAGTATTAACTATTTAGTATTAACTATTAACTTCTCCCCAGTTCCATGTTCCATCAGCAAACATCACTAAACGCACACGTTTCAATTCAGAATTTTAGTTTATAATATTCATTATTCACAAATCACAATATTGTAATACTTAACAGATTATAATTTATTACTATTATTTAAAGACTGATATTTATATTTATCTAGGTACTGAAGTATTGTTACTCTATACTTTGCTGTCGTAAAATGATGCTAACTTTGTAGTATTTAAAGCTTTTACAAGTTATTTCTATAATTAATAATGATTTTTAATTTCATTTTTCTGTGATAAAATTTGTTTCAAATGTCTTCAATGTTTGAAATTACTGATTTACAAAGTATGTGTACATGTTGATCTTGTTTAACAATGAATTATATCAAAAAAAATTAATTATTTTTCCTACAGAAATCGGAGTTGGCCTGGCCGGTTTTGGAATATCGTTCCTATTCCTGGGCATGTTGTTACTGTTTGATAAAGGACTTTTAGCCATTGGCAATGTGAGTTTATAATTTTTATCAAATAATAATGTTTTACTGTCTTACGTTGATTTATACAAAAATATGTTAAATAATTTTATTATTTATTTATTCATTTAGATATTGTTCATTGTGGGTCTTAGCTGTGTTATTGGTGTACAGCGAACTTTAAAGTTCTTTTTCCAGAGACAAAAAATCAAAGCATCTTTATCATTTTTTGGTGGAATTTCAATTGTTCTTTTTGGATGGCCAATTGTAGGAATGCTATTTGAAATTTATGGGTTCATACTTCTTTTTAGGTAAGTAATTAGCTCTTTTTGGATTTCATTCAGTATTCTGTATAACTTAACATTAAAATCAATATAGATTTCTTTACATTCTCAATGTTGTTCAATTAAAATGTTATAATATAAAATTATTAAATATTTTGTTTTTAATATGTGTTTATTTTTTAACTCAAATGATTTAAACACATATTACTGTTTGACTGATCATCATCACTTTAACTTTAAAAAATGCTAAAAAAAATAGTAACTTAATCAATTATATATATATAAACTACAAAACTGTTCATATTTGCTAATTACAGAATTTGGCACTAGAACTAATTATGTGGAACTTATCTTTTTTTTCTTAATGTATATGTTGAATCCTAATGTTTGCAGTAGATCTATAAGATATAAGAATTATATTAAACCATTTAACTTGTAAAGTTCTTTAACTTATCTATGAATATTATTCATTATATAGGTTAATAGATTTATATAGTTATAACTTAATAAGTACTAACTTAACAAAAATCGATTTAAATCATGAATATTTTTTTATCAGTTTCATAATAGTTTATTTTAGTAAATATATATGTTCACATTAAAATCAGTTCCCTAGTTATGATTTATGAAGTTTCAAATTTTTAACTGTTTGTTTGTTTTTTAGTGGTTTCTTTCCAGTAGTGATAAATTTCATGCGCAGAGTACCACTGTTGGGTACTTTACTCAATTTGCCTGGCATCACTGGAGTAAGTTCTTAATAATTAGGCAAAACAAAATAAATGTTACTTATTTATTTTGTTCTAGCTGTTAGATCGAGTGGCAGGTGATACAAGACGAACAATGGTATGAATAACCATTACAAATATTACAAACAAATAAATTACTGTATAACATTTTGCCATGTAATATTCTTTTGATTCCAATGATTTTTTTTTTTTTATGTAAATAAATAAAATTAGATTGTTTGAACATATATATTATTATGTAGTTAAACTTGAAATTTATTAAATAATTATATAACATATATGAAAGTTGAGAAAATATATATTTTTTTAATTATCTCTGTAATAGTTTATTAGTAGTTAAATAATTTGTTGAAACATTATTAAATTTAAAATTTTATTTTTAGGACTTCAATTGATGTTATATTTAAGTTATTACATCATAATTTCTACTAACTGGACATTTCTGGGCTACTTGCTTCCAGTTACTTATTTTACTGTGACTAAATTATTTTATTCAGTATATTATAATATTCCACAATAAGTTGAATTTTATTGGTAATATACTATATTTTATATATTTTTTGTAATGCAATTTTATTTTTATTATATACAATGAATTTTTAAATTACCCTGACTCAATAGCACAAAGTAGATATATATTCTAATAATCGTTATTTTATAAGACTAACTATCTATTACTTGTATAATATGACAAATTTATAAAAAAATGATTATGCCTAAATACCTCATGCTTAAAAGAATGTATGCATGTTTAATTTCTCTCTTTAGTCCACAGACAATATAGACAAAATCATTATTTTTTTTTTATGTTTTTAGTAACCTTAAAGTTAAATCCCCTATTGTGAAAAATATAGAAAATAATAGTTTTGAGTAAATGGCATATCAATTGATCTAAATATTGTCTCAAAACAATTTGATAATCATTTTAATTAATTAATTTTTTTTTTTTTTAAGTGAAATAAAATATAAAAATTAAAGTCAAACCTTCAAAAATATTATTTTCTATAATTTTTTTAATTATAAATGAATACAGAAATTCGTGAAAATATTTTTTTATTTAATTTTGCATTTTTGTTCTGGGTGTAAAATATACTGAAATATAAAATATTATATTGCGTTTTAAATGTGATAAACTATTTAAAACCTGAAAAATATCGTTTCCATTCATTGTATCAATTTGCATAAATATCTATTTGAATCTACTTCTTCCCTTTGTTTATAAAATTATTATCAGTTATTCTTATCGTCATTAACTAACGGCCATAATGTTTTTAACCAATCAAATATCAGCTAAGTTTGTTGATTGCTTCTCCGGCCACCGTAAATCGTAATCAAGATTTGTATTTGAATCGTTAAAAGCACAAATTTCAGTGTTACAGTTTATCATTATCGTAAAGACTCAAAGTATTAAATTTATTTAAAAATATAAAAATACCCAATTTCTGCGTATTACGCTCTCGATTTTAAAGTCAAGAAATCGAAAATGACTTGGCAGCCGAACACTACCACAATGAACAAACAAAACAAATCGTCGATGTACATCGAATACGGGAATCTTATTAAGGAATTAGAACAGTACATGCCCCAATTTAAAGCAACTATTAAAGATCTACAAGAGCCTTCTCAATCGTTCGTGACAGATTTCTACACAGACGTATTTAGTGAATTTTTCTGTGATGTGAACAATTTGACAGAGGTAATTTTTAATGTTATATAATATTATGTTTGAATTATTATTCTCTTCTACAATAAGATAAATGCATATAGCATATTATCTCACAATTCCGTTTGAAGTTGATTTCTAAACATTTTTATGTATATCTATGATTATTTACTATAGATCCATATCAATCAAAATCTCACGTACAATGAAATGTATTCTGAAACTGTACCAATATTGAACATGTGCACAGCCTTAAAATATATTTACTCAAAACTGGGAATTGATGATTTTGGTTTGAATGATATTTGTGATCCGAGTGAGTTTTTGTAATTATTATTAGGTACTTATAATTGTTACAAATAAATTGTTTAAAAGTATGTCCAAAAATTATAAAATATGGAATATTACAATCAAGTTATTAGTTAATTGAAGTTAAGTATAAAATAACACTTACAATTTATTTAAAATTATAACTATTGGCAAATCATTACATAGGGATAGATTTTTTTAATACTATAATTATTAATTCTACTAGCTAAAATGTTAAATAACTTTTTACTATTCTATACCAGTATGAATATAGGATAATTACTAATAAAGAACTTATAAGTGTGTATTTGTATCCAGTCAAAGGTTATTAATAATATTTTAAAGGTTCAAAAAGAACATACCGTTTGCTACAGACAATGATTAACTTCATTAAATATAGTGATGAAAAAATACATGAGGTTGATGCTAAAATGAAAGCTGTTAGAAATATGAAAGATACAATTGATAATTTCAAAAAGCAAAAGGATATAATTGTGAATACTATTAATAAAAAGTCGTTAGACCGTATACAACGAGGAGCTGAAATAAAAACTGTAAATATATTATAATACATTTTTAATGTTTAATTATTAATTTGCGTTATTATTTTTTAGATTGCTGAAGAAGTAAAAGATGGAAAGTCTGAATTAGCAAAAATTCAAAAAAATAGAGATGATGTACTAAAAGAATTAGATAAAGTGAAACAAGAACAAGATGATATTGAGAAAAAATGTTCAAAATTATGTGAACTAAAAGAAAATGTAATTTATTTATTTTTTAGTTTTTGTTGACAGATACGTTTAATAGTTTAACAAGAATTTTTTTATATGTTTATTAAAGAAATGTCATCACATATTTTTTTAATAGAGTTAATAGATAGTTCAATTAAAATATTTAGATCATGAGTAGATTTTTTTAATAACAAATTTATAATAATGAACATTGATTAACTTAATGATATTTTTTTGTGGGGTGGGCAGGGGAAGATAATAATTTTATACTTAAAGCAATATTAAACTTTCAGTTAGAATTCTATAAATTTGTTTTACATTTCCAATCTTTTCATTGGCAATTTTAAAGAATACGCCAGAACTTTTTTAAGATCATCCTTAACAATAGAAAATAGGCATGTAAAAAAAAAATACCATATAATTCTGTTCTTACCAGATTATTTAATTAATAAAATGTTTAAAATATATTTAAATAAAAGTAATTGTTTATATAAATACAATAAAATGCTTATTATACTAATACTATAATAGCCATTCTTATATTTTAACTTTTTAATGATTACAGATTATAAGGGACATAAATGATCTTAGAGCACAAATTGTAGAAGCACCAGATTTATTAAAAGCAGATCATGAACGTTTAAAAAGAATGAAAAATGAAATAGCAGAAAAGAAAACTGCAATGATGGCACAAGTTAGTGCTAAAAAACAAACTGTTATCATTCTTGAACAGGAACTAGCTGCACAAGAAAAACGATTACGTTTGTTAACAGACGTAACTGAAAAAAATGAAAGAATTTCGTGAGTTTACAGATTTAAATTATTATTTTTAAAAACCGTTTTTTATTTCAGAATGAAATATTTTATAAATTTTTACTATTGAAATAAGAATTAATTATGTATTTAATTATTGTTTTTAAATAATTTTTTTTTTCATTTTAGTAAATTAATCAATGAAATTGAATCAATGTCACAAAAAAAATGTGAATTAGAAGAGTCATCAGAAAATCTGAGAGAAAAGATTGAAATAATAGAACGTGAACGAGCTGATATAAACAATAAAATAAATTATTTTACTAAAGAAATGGAGAGGGAACACAATTCATACAAGTCTAAATATGATGTATTAAATAAGTAAGAATAAACAACTAATTGAACAAATTTTTATTACACTTAATATATAGATTTAATGTGTATTAATAGAGATAAAATTTGAAGATTTTGAAGTAGTTAGTTAATTTAAAAGTTAATCATATTTATTGAACAAATAAAATTGTTTAATGATTTTTGAATTTAATATGTTTTTTTTATTAGTTACATTATTTTAATATTAAGTATTTATTCATTAATAGTATATTTTTTAATATTATTAGAAGTATAATTTATGTTCTTATTAGTGTGTGATATTTATGTTCCAGAGAAATTGACAGTATGATAAAACAGTCCAGTCATCAATCTGAAACTATAAAGTCGTTGGATTTTGAAATTAATAAATGTAATTTGCGTAAAAAAGAATTGGAAACTGATGTAATTACTATTATGAAAGACTTTGAATTTGCCAAGAATGCTTTAAATGAATTAGTAAGTAAAATCATTATTTTTGTTCTTAATTTATATTAATTAAATTTAATATTACTCGATGATAATTAATTTTCAGCAAAAAAATTTCAATTTGGAAACTATTAAAAATCTAATGCATCATGCACAAAATGAACATTTCAACTATTAATTAATTTTGTATTTTTACTCTTATGTATTATATATATTTATTCAATAATTATTTTATTTGTATTTAATAAAACTATGAAAAATATGTTTTTAAAATTTCTTTCAATGTCTTACTTAATTTCTTAACTCTTACTAAATGTAGTATGAGTAATTTAAAACTGTATTCCAGTGTCACAATTATTTTGCTGTTTTATTAATGTGCTCATATTTTAAATGTGAAAATCTGTAAAAAAAATTCTCATTTAAGTATGAAAATTTTTAATTAATCAAATTTTGAAGTAAGTTAACTTTATTTTTACATAAATAAAATTGAAGTATTATTTCTAAAAAATTAATCATAGAATTATAACTAAAAATATATGTATATTATTTTGACTTTAAATGTTGAAATAATTAGATATTTAAAATAAATAGCTGTGAGAGAGTATGTTATTTACCACTCATTTTTTTTTTTTTAATATCTTAATTAAATACAAAATAGTATTAATACAAGGTAATTAAAATTTTATACATGTTTATTTAACAACCAAAAGTGAAGTTCTAATAGGTATTAAGATTTTTATTGTATTCTAAAATACTAAGTTTTTACAGCATAGAACATAAATTCGAAGCCCAAGTACACAATTTCTATAATTAATTTATACATTATTCTTTCTATATTAATTTCTTTATCCTCAGAACTATTGGAGGAATTATTTGTATCTGACCTGGACAACTTAAACTTTGACAAAAAGTCAACATAAATCAGTCAAATCAGATTAAATTATGGGTTATCTGTAGATACACAACATAGTGAACTAAAAATAAAATCCCTACTGTGGATCAGAGTTGGACATAATTCGAATACAATTTTATTTAGATAACATTTTATTTGAATACATTTATATTCGAATAATTTTCAATTATGATTATTCCACTAAATTTCAAACAGAAATTCGAATAATTTTTGTTTATTTTATTTTGGTAAACATAGGGTTGGTAGTTAAAAACAAGCACATATTATAAAAAATAGTTGGCATTGTATTTAAAGTTACACGATTGTGAATTATTTTATTATCAAAAAATGTAAAAATATTTTAATTAAACAAATATCTATCAACAGAAGAAAGTTACTTCCAATTACCTATGTGTGTTTGTTAATATTATTATATTAATCAGCAGTTGACCGTAGACCGTAGGTAATATAGATTTTATATTTAATGAATAGGTGTTATGTAAGTATGTAACATACTTGTAGTATTGTTACAGTATGATATATTATGTACGACAATAGCTACATCTAAAAAATAATTTGATTATAAACTATGTCTAATCAAATAAAATAATCAAAAACTATTCGTATAACTGTTTTTAATATTTAGTCGAATAGGTAATTATCTAGATAAAATTTTACTCAACACTGCTGTGGATATTATCGTAGAAGTGAATAACATATTGAAGTTATTGAGTTACGGCCCATGGCCAAAAAAAAAAAAGTAATTATTTTGATCACTTTGCTATTTTATTGTAATTATATAAAAAAAAAAATATTTGCTCTGGAGTCTAACTTTATAGTTGATTATATTGTTTTCTTTAAACAATATTTTAAAAATATTAAGACTAATTTTTAAGCTATTTGTCTTTATTAAAGTATTTATAAATATATGTTTAAGTATTTTTACCGTTATGTATTGAATTTAAAGTTATAGGTAGTAGGTGCACAAATTTTAAACAATATTATTCAATGACAATGTACACTCGAAACTTATAATACGTGGTTGATTGGGCATTTCCCTATTCGTTTATTTACGTATTGTAAATTATTAGCTTATAATCAGTAAGTGATGTAAATCATATTATAACACTATTTTAAACCTTTTTAATTTTGTACATTTAAATTACTTATGGCGCGTAACTGGTCAGAAAAACAATTATTCCGCTGGCTGTGACCTCTGCACACGGTTATTAAGAATTTTACTGTGATAACGAATTGATGACATTTGATAAGCATAAGTATTTGTACAGAACAGAAAATTAATTAAATTAATATTAATTTGCATTTTGAAATACGAAAACGAAAAACGTTTAATAATCATTAACTTTTCTCGTCGTTGAACTCGGCTTCGTCCAAGACACCGTAGTCCGTAAGTAAGAACTAAGATTTTAGAAATAATGATATTACTTTTTACTTTTAGGTTTTTTAGTTGTAAGAAAATGGCGTTTCTGAGTCCGTTCTTCCGGAATCCAATAACCGATTTTACTGGTCCACTCATGAGTGCGCAGACGGGCGTACGCTGTGCAGATTTTGAAATGAAATTGATGAACTGTTACGAGGCGTATGGGTATCCAAAAGGAATAGAAGTATGCCAAGCGTATTATGAGGATTTTAAAGAATGTTGCACTAGAGAAAAACAGGTATATTAATACATCAATTAAATGTTTTTTACTGTAACATAGCCAGATAAGTAGAATATTACTTTTTCTAATATTTTTAAAGTAATACTATCAGAACTCTGAATCAATAAAAAAAAAATTATGGCTAAGTACATGAGTTGACTTGGTCCAAACTTTTAAATTTTAAACAATTTACTTAATTAAGCTTTTCTAAAAATTCATAAATTTATTATTCATATATATTAAATAATCAAATTATACAATATTTTAATACTGTTCTGTTAATTTGAATAAATTAATGTCACCAGCAGTTGTGATTACTAAACACTTACAAATGAAAAATGTAATATACCTAATAAATGCTAAACTTTGAATTGCCTGATTGAAATTCTCATGAAACAGTCTTCAAATTGAATTAAAAATATGTTTGTTTAAAATAAAGTCAATATTAAAATATGTATAAGTATAATAATTATCAATTATGGAATATTTTCGTTAATGGTTGATAGTGATGTCTAAAAAAATTAATTTTTTCGTATAGATATTTAGTTAAAATTTTTCTCAGATATTGAACAACCTCTATGTAATCAATATAATATACCCATGAATATATAAATATTAAAGAATTATTTAAATTACTTATTCAATTCCCATAGATTCAACTAGATCTCTAAAAAACTGTTGATACCTCACAGGCGCATACACAAAAAAATATTTTTGGGGGGAGGGGGGGTTTTGGTTGTAAATTTTTATTCTTATATTGAGTACTAAAAGAGAATGTAATTCATATTACGATAAAACTTATTTCCTGAAATTTCAGTGGGGGGGGAAGGTTGAACCCCTAGAACCCACCTTGTATACGCGCCTGATGCCTCATATATCCATAGTATTTCACTAAAACAATTAAAGTTAGGTTTAAAAAAAAATAAGGGGTGCTAAGACCCTTTTGCATCCATTTAATTGTTCCACTGTTTAAGTTCCTATATTTTATATTATTTTCAATGCAAGTTCATTAGTTGTAAAAAATTTTATTTTGTTAATCAGTGATATTATTTTCCATGTTTTGGATTTTGATTAAGTTTTATGAGTAATAACAGTTTTCTCAAATAATATTGATTTTGATTGTATTTAATTTAATATTTTACTATTAATACATTTTACCTTGAAAGTTAATAGAAATATATAATCACCATGATTAAAGATGATGTAATTACATTAGAATTTCTTGTTTGTAGATGTCTAGAATTGTAGCAATTCAAAATGAACGTGAACGTCAAGCCAAGCCAGAGTATGAAAAACCTCCAGCAATGCACACATTTTAGATATGCACTTATGTAACGCGTTTGTTATAAATACGTATTTTATATGAATAAAACTGTTTTAATGATTATAATAGGTTATCTTTAATATTAGTTTACAAAGATAAACATGTTTAGGTCCTTATTGTATAAAAAAAAAATAAACAATAAATAACTAAATTAATTTCCATTGGCTTTGAATCGTTTATTATTAGAATTTCCATCATCGTTTTTCCGCTTGTTATACCTTTTTCCTCCCTTATTCCTGTTCTTTTCCCTTTTCATTTTGTCTTTCATGTTGAGAACACCTTTCATTTCCTTAGTCATTTCATTCAACACTGTTTGTTCAACCTCCTCATCTGGTATTGAGAACTTGATATTCAGATCATTCACTTTTTCAGCAACCTCCTCCAACAGATCTTTGGCAGCTTTTACAGGCTTCAATCGAATCCAAGCTAATTTTTCAGCTTCAACTATTTTCACAAAGGCTACTTGCCATTCAAATCCAGAGCAAATAGTTTTGATACTTTCAACTGTAACGGATTCATCCACGTTATCAACTTTAAGTAAAAATCCTTTTTTAAAATATTTTTCAGTCTCTGCTTTTATTTTCTGATCTTTCTTAGCAAGTTTGTCTTCATATTCTTTTTTCTTCTCTTCAAGAAAATCTTTTTCCCATTTGCGTTCCAGTTCAACATCTTTGTATTTAACAGATTCTAGTTTCAAAAACTTCTCAGCTTCTTCTTTGGTACTAAATGTAAAGTACAGAGTACCTTTGAATTCTTTAGTTTTGAGTCTTCGAGGTGTGACTTTTGTTATGATTTTATCTCCAAATGTTGAAGCGAATTCCAATAGTTCATCCATAGTAGCTGTTTTTGGGAAACCTTTGCAGTAAATAGACCGTGCAATCATTTCGTTTAAGAACTCTTGATCAGCTACTGGCACAACACTATCTGCCTTGCGCCTGATCTTATCGCCAGATTCTGAGACTTCCAAAATGCTGTCAGTGGCATTTTTAACGGCCTGTGCAATAACTGCTGGGTCCTTGGACAGAGATGCTAATCTTTTGAATGTCAATAGCACGTCAATTTTCACCCAACCATCATCATTTTTAATCTCATTTTGTAGGAACTTATCATAAGGAAGATTAGTGTCACTGAAGTAAAATCCAAGTTGCTTTACAATGTTTTGCTCGAGGTTTGGAGGTATATTGACTACAGGAGGAACAACAGTTTCGTTTTCAGTTTTCACTTCAACTGGAAATTCTACTTTGACGTCGGAGGTACTCATCGCTGTTATAGACGACTATGGATACAAAAACAACATACAAAATCGAATTAATACTAACGGTCATTTTAAAAATATATATTTAATATTAGTGATTTGAACATACCTGCAAAAACGATGAACGAAGATTTTAAAACTAATATGCGATAAGCTTACAAAAAACGACTTTGAATTAATACTTAATCACGAATTTCCACGTTAAAAGTGGGCGCGAATTTGTGATCGAAAAATTAGATCCACGAAAATACAATTAATAAAAATAATTTTCAACTTAAGTCAAAAATTGTCAATATATTTAGCTGTTAAGCGTTTTTGAAGTTTATATTTTAATATACTTATTTAAGGTAAAACCGTTGCTCAAAGTGCCGTACTGCCCGTACTGTATAAATATCAAATACTAAATTATTAAATAAGTAATTTTGTTTTAGTATAAACACGAGGTTAAATACTTAAATGTTTAAACCCAATCAGCAGCCAGACCGCCAGACCAGTATCGCCTATCATCACTCACTGTTGTGCATCGTGTATAAGATAGTAGATAATACTTTGTTTGAGGTTAACCGTAAGTCACAGCTCGTGATTATATTATTGTCAGACGACGCTGCTTTAAGAACGTTCCAGTGCGACGATCGGTCTAGTCGAAAATGACACATATGTTTAGTAAATTTCGAAATGATTTTAAATTATGAAATCATCAATCTTATTTTTGTTAGTTTTAAGTGTTTTAACTTTAAAGTATAATTAATAAATTATCATATATTATATAAATAATAATGATATTTTCAAAATATTTGAGTTAACTATTTTTTACTCTAAAGTTAAACAGGCAAATTCTCATCTTCATCTCTTAAAAACACTCTTCAAATGAAAAATGTGTCTCAAGTATAAAACTTGAATTTATAAAGCCACGATTATACCAGTCTAGTTTTATGATATTCAAATTTGGAGTCCAACCAAACTTTCTAACATACACCTACTCCAAGCCTTCCAACCTATTTGCTTCGGAATTTTAACAGGAGTTCCCAGATTGTTACTTGTTACAACGAATTTCTTCATAAAGAACAAAATACCTTCACATTCCCACATTTACGGAATTTACCAAATTGATTATAAAAGATTCCACAATAAATTATTTAACGATCTTAACAAATAACAATTCCAACATCAAAAATATGTTTTACTTTTCCCTTCCAGGTAATGTTCAACGATGTCTAAAATGTAACTGATAAAGAGATCTACTTAAGTTAAAATTGAAAAAAATTTCCCTTTATATATTTAAATGGACAAACTGAAAAATTAATTTTATTTTAATGATTGGTTAGATTATTGCCTTTTTATTTCGTAATATTCTACTTTGCTCATAAAAACGATTTTCGAAGAACCCCAACGAAAAATATTTTAATTCTCACAAATCCCCCCCTTGCTTCTAAAATATACCATTATTTCTATACCCTGTTATAGCTACAATAAAAACATGAAAAACTTTAATAGGAAATTTTATTGTTCCCATTTTTTATACATGATACTGTTAATAGTTAATCATTTTAAAGTCAATTATAGTTTTATACAATTTAAATAGCGATAAAAATATTTTTGGGTTTTAAGTTAGTTCATAATACAACATCATAGGGGGAGATTTAATATATTTTTTCTCTGAAAAACAAAATAAAATAGTTTAGAAAAATCGGAAAATTTTCATGCACTATAAGTTTTAGGTAAAATCAAATTTGTTATTTTTATTGTAATTAAAAATGATTTCGTTGTGCTTAACTAGTTTATAAGAACAAACAATTATTAAAATTGATCACAAAAAGGAGTTCAACGACAATATTAAAAATCTAAATAAAAAATATTGTTATAAAATAACAGCAAAAAAAAAAACCAACGGCACGTAGTGTTCGCAAACGGTCACCCATCCAAGTACTAACTACGCCCAACGTTGCTAAACTTCAGTGATCGGACGAGAACTGGTGTATTCAACGGTTTATTCAACGTGGTATGATAGTTGGTGAATGTCTAGTGAAAATAACAATATTTAAATAAAATAATCAAATTTTAACTTACGAATGTCGTCCTGATTGTAAATTATAACTTAATTTTGACGCGGTCCCGCGTATAATTCGTTTGAATTCAAACGGACTTCACGTAAAAAACTGCGTCTGAAACGTTTGACCGCCGACACCGCGAACCGGTCCTAGGTCAAATTAGTCTTATGATCCGCAACGTTCGCGATTTATATTTTTGGCACTACGTCCGTACTGTGTACACTGTTTTTTTATTTTCTCACAATAAAAAAAAAAAACAGCGTCAACACCAACCTAACCCGTTTATTTTATTTTTTGTCTTTTCCTTTTTTTTTCTTCCCTCTTAAACGTTCCTATGTGTCAGTGACAGGACTAGATACGCGCCAATTTTAATCTGTATCAAGTATAATATTATATCAATAATAATGGTATTTGGAAAAATAAACTACTCAAAAATCTCACAATGATGTTCGATTTGAATGATGATGTAGGTAGGTATAATAGATATACTATATAGTTAGTTATTATATTAATGATATCAAGAATCAACCTACAGGATGTTTGGATTTTTCAGCAGTGGTATGGGATAGAAATCAAATTAAATTAATTTATATTGTTCTGACTTAAAGTTCAACGAAAGCGGTACAAAAAAGCTAATTCAATATAACTGTCTACGATTCTTCGCCTATACCCTTATCTATGGGCTATGGTCGTACATGTCCGAATGATGTAAATAATGTAATTAAGAAATAAAAATATTATAAACAAACTACACGAGGTAAAGGTGTACCTACATCATTTTATAATACAATGTCATTTACATAGCTTGAACTTTGGAAACTTCATCCGTGTCTGCCGTCTCCACTGTGATGATTATGTGAGAAAGACAACTAAAATAATTGTTGATAGGTATATATTATATTATGTAAATAATCAATAGAAAAACGTAGAAAGAAACTTAAGTATTTACATTCATTATTTATTTTGTAAAAACATATTTTAAATATATTTTTTTAGAAATTTGCAGGTCTAATTGTAAGGTAATTATTGTAATTGTAGGTAATTCTAAACATTTTAACTTGTATAACTTAAAGTTTTTTTGTTCTAATTTTTATCATAATTCGTGTTTGTACTTTATAATAAATATACACGTTCGGATTCGAATCGTAAACAACCTGTATCTAACATTCTTTAAATTTAAATTGATATTTTTAAGGGTATAGATTTTTCTTGGTTTCAATAATTCCAATATTAAAAATGTTAAATGAATAATAAACTGTTATTTCTGTAGCATCGATCGCTTCTTATTTCATCAAAAAATAATATACTAACAAAATTTGAAGCGAAAATGTATACCTACGAAATTTGTTTGAGGTTGGGCTTTGCATTGAGTGAATTATATCATAAAACACACACTGGGAATCGATGAAATAATGTAAATATATAAAATGACGCATTTAAATGTCTACATTCAACGCTATTCAATTTCAACTCTTAAATATATGCATATTTTAATAATGATTATAACTTAAACGATCACATACACATTTGGTTAACATTTTTAGTATCTACAGTTATTTTAATCGCAAAAAAATTCAAACGCTTATAAAAATAATTTTTTTTTACTGGTAGATTATTTATTATTTTTTAATTATAAACAGAAAAATTTAAAAAGAATCGTGTTTTTTCAAATCAAAGGTAGAAAATTTTGTTTTTATAAAATTCAAAATAATTACAAATATTTGAAATTTTAAGAATTTCATTAAAATTACAAGTAAAACTTTATAAAAAATATTGTAATATTTCTTTGTTATAAATAAACAACTTACAAAGAACATTTTATTAAAATGTCAAGCATTATAATTTAATTAGATTGTATATTAACATTTATGAATAAAATTAGAAAAAATTAAAAAATTCAAATACCTTAGTCATCTTTGAAAATTACAATATCTGTCAAAAGTTCTAACATTAATATTCAGTAAAAATTTCAAGTATTTGTGTTCATTCATTTTTAAGATAAATAAAAAAAAAAATTAGTTAAAAAACACGTTTCTTCTTATACCCCCTCCACTGGTTATTATAATTTTAAAGTATCTAAATAACAAACTAAATCCAATTTTCTACTAGAAACCATTATCCAAATTGAAAGTTCAAGCATTGTTTTAACTATTATTTTTTAATGTGTATACACACATGCATAACAAAATATATAAAGAAACAGTATTCAATATTTTGTGCTATACTAGAGTAATTCATTGTAATCAACACTGTCAGCTATTAAAAATATTATATTATTAGATTTTTACTTAATAATAATATTCAAAATTAATATTTAAAAATATTCATAAATCATAATATTAATAAATTTGTATAAAATTGAAAATATATTTTTTTATTTAAAAGCTACAGAACCACCAATTAATATCCATAAGATGACATAAAATTTATATGATTTACAATTTTATTTTAATAGAAGTGTATTATCTAATATTAATGAATAACTTGATATTAAATAATAGTAAACAACAAAATAAAATATTCTTAATACATAAAAAATATTTTATTGATTTACATTATGCAAACTCTTGCTTTGGTAATACTGTATAGTGTACATAAAAATAACAATATTAAACCGATCAAAATGATCATAGTACAATGCATTTTACATTTAAAATTTTAACATAATTAAAAATGAATACTTTACATATCACAAAATACAAAATTCTCCAAAATCCCATAACACCAATATTAATAACAAGAAATACAAATTTAAATGTTTTAAGTACTTTAAAAATAATCATATAATTTAGTTTTAACTATAAGCTTGTGAGTTATTAAATATTAACACAAATAGAAAAAAGTTTAATTAAAAAATAATATTAACAATATCACATATTAACTAGTAATAATAATAAATGTTTATACTACAAAAGATCTAAATCTGTCGTATAACATATATTATAAAATTATTCCCAAAATACATTGGAAAAATATCACGCACCTTAATTGTAGCAATTTAAAAGTGTAATGAAATGATTAAATAATATTTATTATATTAATAAATATTTTTAAACATATTACACAACACATTTACAGAAAGAAATATATTAAAAATCTAAAAAATATGATTAAAAGTAATTGGTTTACAATAAATAAATTATATTTAATTAATAAAAGCAGCAAATTATGAAACTAATCATGAACTTATTAATTTTTAAAAGCATATTTTTTCTTAAAAATATTTTAAACAATAAAAATAATTACTTAAACTTTTAGATTATGTTGTAATTAAGAAACTAAATAACAAAAGTATTTTGCTTAAATAAAATAAGAATAAATTAGTTTTGATAAAAGTTTGCTTTGATGTGGTAATTAAGTTATATTCAATAAAATACTGTTTTTAAATAAAATTTAAGTGTTTATCATTACCATTTATAGTTATTGTTAACCTGAGATGTACTTGGAGTTGAATAATTCTGTTGATAATGTCTATTAGTTGTCCCTCTATTATCTATAATCAAACATATTTTTTTTTTCAGATACACAATACAAGTATTACTTTTACATATTTTGTGTTGTACTTAGTAATATTTGGAATTACAGCAACAACTAATTTTTGTTAAATATTCTCACCATACTCTGACACCTAATTTCCTCCGTAAAATCTAACCACTAAAAACTATTTGCTATAGTTTCGTTTTAATACAAAAAGAATATATAATATATTCAAATTAAGAAACACTGTCAATGATCGACCGTGACCAGTGCAGAAGGGCATGACTAGTATATAGTAGGCATAAAAATAGTTGTATCATTAGGAAGAACAAATGAGTTTGTCACTATGGTTTTTAACTTGAACAGAATATAGTAAGTTACTTAACTTTTTAAATTAAAAATTACTTACTAGGCATGTTATAACTATTTCTACTTGTTCTAAAACTTAAGCTGCTATCTGTAAAACCTGTAAATTAAGGTTGTTTTATTAAATTAAAAATAAAACTACAATAAATAATAAATTTTACTTTTATTTTGAGAGTGTTGACCATATGGATATTTGCGAAAAGAAGAAAAGGAAGAACTATCATTACTTTTGCTATGACGACCTTAAAAAAAAAAAATAATAAATATAATAAACTCATATTATATATAAATTGCTATTATAAACTTTTAAAAGCTAACCTTTATTACTATTTTCTTTCGGACGTTTACCAACATCATCTGGAGCCTCCAGCCCTATAGCATTATCTTCGATAGATAATATTTTAACTACTGATTGAACAACACTACTAAAGGACTGAATGAAAAATATAACACATTAGATTATTATGAATACAAAATATTTAATTAATATATTTACACTATGTTGAGAGATCATTTTATTTTTAAGAAATTCTCGGTAAGCTAAAGTAAGACATAATCGCATGTTTAATATTTTAGCAATATCATCTGAACTTCCAACAAAACTAGTCCAACCATCCAAATTTAATGTTCCTAAATTGTCTTCACTTTCTTCATCACTATTGTCACTATCATCTATGATAATGAAAAGTTATTTTTTAAACTCATTTTTATAGAAATAAAAAACATAGAAACAAATATTAATTTAATTTACCGTCAGCTGTATCAACTAATCTTTGAGGATTATTTAATTTGACCCCTGTTTTAACAGAATCTTGAGGTAATCTCATAGCACTAGAAAATAGTGCTATTGACATAGAAGATACTACTGTGCAGTTTTTTATAAATTTTTTAGTGTTGAAAGAACTTAATTCTTCAAATATTATCCATTCTGATGGTAAATCTTTGACATAATTTTCACGTAAAACACTTGATCCATGGTAAATAACACTTTTTTCTGTTCTATAATATTATAAAACAACGAATTACAATACAATACTATTACTTCCTACATTATTAAGTATGACTAATTACTTAGTTTTCAAAACTGGTCTTGGATTAGATTTATCTAGTTTAGCCACATTTGGATACAATCCAGCTAATAAACAAGCTTTAACAGCAGCCCAATTATTTGAGTTAATATTTACGTCCCTTATATCATTAGGTCCAGCACGAGTCTGAATTAGCTCTAATGCTCGTAACTGACCTAATAATTGAGTTCTTGTTTGTGTAATTAATCCCATAATTGATTGTGAAACAAGGTTAAATAACTCGCTATCAACCATATTTCCTTCATTAAAAGCCTGAATGATAGAACAAAATTTATTACTAAAATCTGATCAGTGTATAAATACTTCAAAATCAGTTTTAGGAAGTTTTCTTTTTATTAAGTTAATAAAAAGTTAAATATGAATTATTTTTAACTTGTATGCTGGAGCAAAAAAATATGGTTTTCTAAAATGCAAACTTGTTAAAATTATTAATTTATGTATTTAATAAGTAATTAAGTCAAAAATTTTAGTTCATTATAGAATTTAAAGATTTCTGGATACACAAAAAATATAGAATCTAGAAAATACAATTTGAGATGCAATAATTTTACTAAATAAACATGTATATCATAACTATATTTTATACTTCAATCTATTTCTTACTTGATATAAACGCAAAAGGACTATGTGATCACTTAATGAATCACCAGCTAATTTCTTACGAATAGATCCTAATGAAGTCTTCATATTTACATTAAGAGTTAAGTTAAATGGTTCTCTGTAAATAATATATTATAATTGTTACAAGTATAATGTATATTACAAAAATATATCATACCTATTAGCTAAACAGCTGATTATAGTTAATACAGGATCAAGGCATTTCAAAAATATAGCAAATACTAGGGATTTAGCATAATGAGATTCAATAGATAAATCCAACATAAAAAATCCAAGATCTGTTAAGTCTTCATTCACATCCATTGCTTCTATTGTCTTAAGATATTCAAGAGCAGACGTAACTGATAATGTAGGTGGTGGTTGTATAGCTAAAGCTAAAAAGTCTAATACTCTCATATTATTGGAAATCACTTTTGCTAACATGCAAAGTTCCTACAAAATAGTAATTTTTTTGTAAAAAAATTTGTTATACAGATACATATTTTAATTTTTAAATAATTATAAAAATTTAGACATATAAGTATTCTTTAGAACATAATAAGACAATATAATATTGTATATAATCTTCTTTAACATAATCTAAGTCAAATATTTAAATTATTTTAGAAAAAAGTTTTTGATTTATAAATTGCATGTAGTGTATATTTACTTGTAAAGGCATTCTAAGAATTTCAGGTACATCATGAGTTGCCATGTGACAATGATGTTCTCTTGTATAAAGACGATAACATTCTCCAGCACATAGTCTTCCAGCACGACCAGCTCTTTGTTTTGCACAACTTTGGGATATCCAATTTACATTCATACAACTAATACCATTAAAAGCATTGTAACCTTTCTAGAAATATAAATGTAAAATTTTAAGTGAATTTTCAAATTCTTATCCAAAATCATACAAATGAATTAGTTAATAATTTAATCCTAAATTTTATTGAAAATAAAATTTACCTGTTTTACTCTCCCTGAATCAATCACATATACAACATCATTGATTGTAACACTTGTTTCAACAATATTAGTTGCTAATATAACTTTTTGATGACCTTTAGGCGCTGGTTGAAAAACTCTGCGTTGATCGGATGTCTTTAAAGAATATTAGAATTTGAAAACTTAAAAATGTATTACTAGAATATTGAACATTACCTGCATCATAGAATGTAACATATAAATTGTAATTTTTAAATTATCTTTATTAATAAGTTCTTCAACAATGACTTTATTAACCATAGACATATCTTCAAATCCTGGCAAAAAGACTAAAATAGAACCTAAAAAAACATATATTGTTGACTTTTTATATTTAACATTATCATAAAACTAAGTTTAATTACCAGCATTTTTTTTTAAAATTATATGTTTTATGAGATAGGTAATTAAATAGGCATCAATTATAATATTAGGGGGTAAACTTTTTTTATATAGTTCTAGTCTTTCTCTAATTTCTACTTCATCCAAATTTTCATTTTTCTGGATATCTGATTGCGCAATACTTTTGTTATTAATAATCAAATCTCTAGTATCAAATTGATTAAATTCTGCTGCCCAAGTAGCTGCATCCATATTGTATACCCTTGTTCGTATGTTTGGGTTAGCACCCATGTTTAATAATGTAGTAACATAATCATTCAATCCATGAACTGCTACAAGCATCAATAAAGTTACACCAGTATCTGAATGCTATTAAAATTAAATTAATTAAATTAATCTTATTGTTTAATTTTATTTATTACTATATAGTATTATACTTAATTGTTAATTAATTTATTTTGATTATTTATAGTTATTAGTATTCATTATAATTTATGAACAATAAAAAATTTGAAAAATATCTTCAACGAAAAGTTCAGCGAGAGTAAAATTTAATATTAGATATGATCATTTTATCATACTACTATTACCGATTTCAATAAGCACATTATTTACAAAGTATGAAATATTATTTTTATTTTAAATATTTTTTAGGATTTAATATTCAACTTAGACTCTAACTTAAATCTTAAAAATAAATTACTGCTACATTAAACAATATCAAGCTAGTATGGTTATATAACATCTAAATTTAGGGCTTAGCTAAGCTCTTAAACATTTGCCCTACCCAAGATTTTCAATCAATCACCCTAAGATTTATCACAGGAACTACATGGTACATAACAAATGCAGCCCTCCACAACTACCTAAAAATACAAACAGTAAAAAGCTCACTAAAAGCCACTTTTAAAGTTTTCTCTCTAAAATAATAAACCACACAAACCCTTTTATTAAAAACATGTCTTCTCTCACATTACTATGAATCCCTTGTCAGCTAAAAAGAAAGTGGTATAGACTTTCTAATATAATGAAAAAATTTAAATTAAAAATAAAAGAAGTTTTTCTGAGGTTCTGTTACTAAATGGTGTTGTCTTAATGTGATTTTGTGTTCTTTTTTCTTTGTATATACTTTTATCATCCTTATTACGTATTGTTTTTATTTGTTAACAAATGGAATATATTTAAATTAAAAAAAAAAAGAATTTAATAAAACTGTTTTTTAAATTTACAGATTCATATTTGCCATGTTATTTATTAAAATAATAATATTTTAGAGATAGAGTGTTTTATTACATGTAACAATAAATTTTAAATTATATTAAATCTTTTTAAAAATAATTTTACCCATAAGATTTTAAATAGGTTAATTCACTCAAATTTTAAAATTAACATTAAAATAGATTATTGTGAAAATACAATTTTCATGTTTTATATTTGTAAAATAAACACTAAGCTTTCTAATGATACCGTCATAATACCTAATCTAACCTATCAATTACCAATCTACCCAAGTAACTAATTTAATGCATAAGAAATCTGCAATGTTTGAATTACAATGCATTAAATCTTAAAATTTTAAAATAACTGTCTAATTGTATCAAAATTATACATAAAATACAAAGAAATATTTATATAAATAAATACTTGATAATCTACTGGAATTCCTTCCGACATAATATAATAAATCATCCTATCAATTTGCTCAATTTCAGCATTGAACCAAATTTGGTGCATACAATCATCTAATTCTGATTTTAACCATTCTTGATCAGGCATCAATGTAGTAATCTAATAAGTAGAAAAAAAATAGTAATAAATATATTAAAATACATTATAATTGTAAAAATAAATATGTATGAATTATATTTAGTACTGGTTCAATAAGATTCATATTCTGGACAGCTTCAACAGTTCTTTCAACAATATCATTATCCCAATAACCAATTTTAGTTTTATTTTTTATTCTTGTCATTGCTGGAGACTCATATTTAATTCTATAAGACGAATAAGTAATGTTATTAAACAAAACTGTAGTTAAAATCAAAATATTAAAATATTTACACGTCTAAAATGTCTTCCAAAAAATAATTCTGCACAGGGAAAATTTTACCTTCCACTAAAAATATAAATATATATATATTATCATTGGTAATATTTTAGTACTTTAATTTTTACCTTTCAATACCGGACAGTTATCAAAATAATTTGAAAACAATTGTATATCTGCAGTAGCTGACATTAAAATAAGTTTCAAATGATTATATTTTGGTAAAATCATACGCAATGCTATAAGAAGAAAGTCTACATGTTTATCACGCTCATGAACTTCATCTACTATAACATGAGAAACATTCATCAACATTCCTTTGTTAGGTTCATTGTCTTTTTGATGCCGATCCATAAGTGTCCTTGTCAAAACACCAGTAGTGCAATATATAATTGTTGTGTCTTGACTGACACTAAATTTTAAATAGTATACATTAAAATATTAATAACATGATATTTAATATATTATAAATATTAAGAATTTAAATAATTATATTACCAGCTTTCAAGTCTAACTTGATATCCAGTACTCATTCCAATACTTTCACCACGTTCATTAGACACTCTATCAGCCATTGATATAGCTGCAATTCTTCTTGGTTGACAACATATAACCCGGCATGGTTTTTTTTTTACAGCACTATCATCAATTATAAATTGTGGAATCTAAAAAGTAAATATAATAAACTCTTTTAAGTAATATAAAAATAAAAATTACACTTATAAATTAAATTATCATTTTTTGTAATCATTAAGTAAATATTAAAAACAAGACAACAAACATAATTTAAAAATTAATATTTTAATTATTTATACTTGAGTAGTTTTTCCAGATCCGGTCTCAGCTGTAATGATTACAACAGTATTATTCTCAATTGCATTAGTTATCTGTCCTTTTTTTGCCCATATTGGTAAAGCCTTCCTTGTTAATAATAAATCTTCATCTACAGCAAAACGAGGTATGGACATAGGCTTATCACACATGAGAGGAAGATTACGTTTACAATTGGCCACTGAATAGATATACATAAAAATAAAGAATATGAAATATTCATTAGTTAATCCATTCCAAACCCAACATAATATATTTATTTTATATGATAAAAATTAAACAACTTGTAATAAAAACTTATAGAATCTGTTATTTAATATAAAAAAAAAATAATGTATATGAATATTGTATGGTGGTGGTTGTAGATAAGGGTGATCAGTATAAACAAGCATACACTATTACCCTCTAACACACCAAAGGTTTTGTCATTTAATAAGTAAGTATAAAAATACAGAAAACAATTTCTTATCATAAAATTGTAATCACAAATATAAATCTATGATTTGTATTTAAAAAAAGAATAGAAGTATTAATATATATTAAAGATTATAAACAAAATTATTGAAAAACAGTTAGTGATATTAAGTATAGACATGGGCACTTGCCCCCCTCCCCCCTGGAAAAAAATATTACCATAATATTACCTTATTACCGAGGCAAATTATTTGTTGAAATCACTTTTAAGATATGAATAAGTATAAAAATATATTCATTGTTATCGTATATTAACATCATAAATAGGTCGTATTCTGTAGTCCGTATAATCTATACGTAAAATTATTTATCACAGATAATTTGTGGTAAATCCATAAAGATCACAATATAGGTACTATAAATATTTTAACCTAACGCAAACAAGGATACTTTCATTCAAGATGTCATTAATATGTTTGGAATAAAACGAAGAAATTTGCAGTTCCTATTTACTGATACCGAATAATATACTTAATTATATTATTTAATCTCTATTTTTTTTATATACTTATTAAAATTATTATTTATTTATTCGTATGGAAATTATTATTTATTAATTTATTTATTTATATGGCAATTATTATATATTTATTTATTTGTATGGCAATTATTATTAATACACTATATATATATTATATACAAATAAAAATATAACATGCATGTATAGTGTATACATTTATATGTGAAAAATAACATTAAATCTTTATTATTTTACATTCGAAATTTTTTTTAATTTGATCCCCTCTAAAATATTACCTATGGGGGCCCATGGGTATAGATTAATTAAATCTGAAAATTTATATAATTTTACAAGAAAATTGGTAAATCATTAGAAATACAAATTTTAATCATACTTGTATAAATTCAAATACAATATTTTATTTTACACTTAATTGAATAATTCAAGATTTTAATAATATAAAATATAAATTTTTCTTTTTGATTTAATTTCATTCAAATCAATAAAAAAAATTGAAGCATTTGATATTCAAAATTTTAATTTAATTTAGTAACATTGGATCTAATAAACTGGAAAGACAAATAGTACATAAAAAGTAAAAAAAAATCATCAATATAAAGATGTTTTCAATGATATTGCCTAATTTCATGTTTAGTAAATATCCAAATAACAATTGTGAAACTATTTGCAAACCATATACATAATGTAAAGAAATAAAAATATATTGTTCTTGGAAAACTATGAATTCACAAAAAAAATTTAATATGTTATATTTTATCTTATAAACATCAGGTTTTTTAACTTAAGTTTTAAAATTTTTTACATTTAAATTAAATTAGAAAAATAAAAAACTATCTAATTTTGCTATATTATAATATTGATCAATGAATCGACTAACACCTTCCAAATTTGACCTCAATTACTTTTTAATATAATCTAATAAATATAGCCTGTTAAAAATTGAATATACACAATATAAGTATTAAACATTTAATTGTGATAGTTATTTAAAAAAATTTAGTCATAAATAACACAAATTTTATACTAAGTTATGAAAATGTCTATCAGTTATAAAATATAAAGATAAATGTGTATAAATTAATTAATTAAAAGTATATTAGGTTTAATAATTCCAAGTAAAATTATTATAGACTATTATTATAAATTTAACTTAAAAATTATCTTTCTACATACCTGCCATTCGTCGATATGGTTTCATAGGATTAGGAAGTAACTCATCATACATTTGTTTAGTAATAGGAACATGATCACAAATTGTTTTCATTATATTATTTGAAGCTGCGGAGACCTCTATACTACAAACTTTACTATTGACTTTTTTTTTATCCATTTTAATAGTTATTGATCGATGACCAGGTTTTCTGAAATTTAAAAAAAAAAAAAAAAATTATTTATTATATATCATTATATATACATATTTTAACTTTAAAATTAAAAACTAATGAAATAAATATAATATGAATGATTCTTGAAAAAATTTTAAATCACATTTTATTAACAAAACCATCAACTACAATAATATACTGCTAAACAATATTGTAATACAGAACAAAAATTGTAAACATATTTTAATCAAAATTAACAAACTATTACCAAATTTAATCAATATTATGAAAGAGTATTGTACTGTTGAATGTTAACATATGCCTAATTTATTTATAGTTAATTCTCATTAAACTTTTGATATAGCAAAAGGGTTTTCACCACTTAATTCTAAGAAACAAGGTTCGAAAATATACCAGTGGGTTCTAAATTGTGTACCAATGTCAACATGTATTAATAAATTCTTATAAAAAATAATTATAACATTTTCTAATTACACAAATTAACTTTTTTAAACAATAATTTTTAAAGTAATAAATTTTATAAATTTATTGAAAAAATATTTTTTACAATATTATTAAATACATCAAATAACATAATCCACAATCAAATTGTAATAACTGTTTAATGCCAATTAAATAACTATATTAGACTAACATTTTTCCAACATATATTTGATGTATTTTGTCTATTGATACCGTAATAATTTTGAAGTTTTTAACAATTATATTAAATTTGTACTTGACTATAACTAATACACATAAAATAAATATTTATTTTTAACAGTCATACAAACCCATAGCTTTTAGATTTTAATCCAAGTTCAGCACTTTTTAAATGCAAGAATTTACGTTCTTCTGATGTCAATGAAGATGGAAATGTATAAGCTAAAACAAGTTAATGTATGTTTTTAATGAATCACATTATTCACATTAATAATATTAAATATTTAATTATTTTTTTTTATAACTTAAAAGTATCAAAAATAAATATAAGCATATTAAGTTAATTATAACATATATAATAATAAAAGATATAGGTAGATAAATACTTGAAAACTGACATTTTAAAATTTGAATCAAATTAATATTTTAACATTGATACATGAAAAAGTTTTTATCTAAAATATCAACAGAATTATTAGAATCAAATACATAATTAAAAATTAGTAGTTATTATTTAATTATTAAATTTAATGTATAATAGCAAGACTTGTCATTAATAGTAACAAAGGAATATCATTCTACTTTATTTTAAACATTTATAATCTTTTTTAAAGAACAAATTTTAATTTAATACTTAATCATGTGATTATTATCATTCAATAGAACAATACAATTATTATTATTTAACGTATAAACAAAAAAAAAAAAGTATTTAAATGATACAAATACATCATTTATAAGTATATCTATGATGAAAAACAGTGAAAACCAAATATGAAAATTTTAGATTTAAAAATTATTTTATAACTATCATCCTTATTAATTAATTATTAACATGATATATTCGCGATGAGTATATATTTATATGATGAGTACAATTCTTGTACACAATTAATTCAGAATATCTATTATTTATATTGTATTAGCTTAATCGTAGTTTGAATTATTTTAAGTGATTACAAAATCTGTATAATTTAATTCAGAAGACATAATCATATGTTAATATTTTGTAAAAAACTCTTTATAAAACATATAATTCAATTTACACATTGTATCAGATGAAATAAATTTCTGCAATTGATGTGACAAGGAATCTTTACAATCTTGTGATAAACCTTTTATTGGGGGAGACCTGGAAATATAGAAGTATATATTAATGTTGTAGAGCAGATAGTATAAAAGCAAACATTAAAACGAAATAATAAACATGTATTTAGTAATAATATTTTTATGTTAGTATTTAACTAAAGATAAATATAATATAATTAAAACCTTACATGGTGACAAGAATTAGATTTTAACAAACTTTAAAAAATGATATCACTAAATTTATATAAGCACGTAAATACTATTCGTACAAGTATCGGAATATAAAATTAATCCATCACATTTTAATTAAATATACTATCGAAAAATCAACATTAAAGATTTAATAGTAATAACACTAATAAGTAATAACTACCAAGTATCACAAAATAATAATAAACTTAATAAATGATTTAAAAACAAACGTTTTAAACCAAATCACGAAAACATTGAAGATTGAACCTGAAAAACCGCAAATACAATAAAATACAGTGTGAGAAAACTTATATTTTAATTTGGTAACATTGATTATTGGTATCACCGTGGATTATATTAAAATATAATTTTTAAACAACTTTACTCTATGTATCACAAACACGGTACCTATATAGTTAAATATATGTAGAAATACTAGAAATACAACCCTGAAGGCCTGAAGTTAAAATATTGCACTGTCCGTTTGAAAATTGAAGAGTTGTACGATTAAACAACCACAAGCTGCACTGCGGTAGCATTTGTTGTTACTATAGAATATAGATGCATAGGCCATACATGATATACTCTGTATTCACTATTTTTTATTTATTTAATAACCTGTGCACAGACTACGAAAACTTCGTATATATATATATATATATATATATATATATATTATATTTAAATGCTTATACATAAATGTATGAATATTATGTACACATCAGTATGTGAAAACGCTCTACAGTATCTATGTTATTAACATTTGTTATAAATAAGATACAAAGCTATCTAATATCTAATATGATCGTGCCATCGAATTGACTAAATAGATGGATCCATCGACTTATCGTTTGACGTTTATGGTTAGTGCCGTTAGTGGTGATTAGTTTTTACTTATTACCGCAAGCCGAAAATCAAGATTGATTATTATTTATTATAACTCGTTAGTTAGTACTAACTACTTACCTTACTCATACACACGTTACCTACTAAGTACATCAACTTACTCATGAGTTCCCAGTTTTCAATTTCTACTACAGATTGTCACGCTTATTATGTTCCGTATTACTTATTAGGTAAGTATTAAATAGGTATTAGTGGCGTAGACTTGGAGAGAGGTTTGAGTATTTAAACCGCCATTATTTTTCCACATCTAATATATGTATTATTTATATTGTATATTCAAAAGTTTACAACTCAACTTTGTACTTGAATAGTTTAATTGGGTAGCAAACATAACGAAAACTGTAAAAAACTAAGTTTAATTTTCACTTAACCTCCCCCCCCTTGCAAAATTCTGGCTACACCATGATAAGTATCAATGTAACATCTATTGATTTTGGTTGCTACTTTTATTAATCTTTACCATTTAATAGGTATAGGAGATACCAATTATTCAAATTTCTATGTTTTTTGGAAATTTTAAATCTAATATTTTAAATCATGAATTACTGTAAATATATCTATTTATTCAATGATTATGCTTTCATAATTAAGGGTGTCGGTCTCTATTAATTTATCTAATCAATTCACATATTGTATCGATGGCTCGTAGCAGGCCGTGCATTTGTGTGAGTATTTAATTTAAATCTATTTAAGTTTGTGTGTAATGCTTCCTAGAAATTCTATTATTATTTTTTTCAACCGGAAATTACAATATCTATGACTTGTTTATATTGAATATTGTATACTTTATTTAAATTTTAAAAGTATTAATCGTAAGAACCAACACTCACCAGATTTTTTATTAATATTATAGTTTTAAAAGTATTTTGTTTAATCTTTAGCTATTTAAAGCCATATAAAGTAATATTCTATTTTTAAATGTGATTAATCAATTTTCATTTGGTCAAATCGTTTAAAAATTTAATACAAAATTAAACATTAGTAGTTCTTTCAGTCTAATAAAAATTCAGAAAATACGTAGGTACAATTTTTTTTATAAGCATTTAAAGTTCAAATTTTTATAAAATTTATCAAAATTACGAAAATTTGCAAAACATTTTAGTTAAGCATAACATTTTCAATATTTGTACCAAAGATTTAAAAATTCAGAATAAGATTCTAGACAAGTTTTACTTATAAAAATTATGAAACAAATCGATTAAAATTCCAAAAATAATTGTTTTGAGCGTTTTAAATTTATTTTTTTTACGAAATTGAATATTTAAATGGAAATAGTAATTTTTAGCTATTTTGTTGTAATTCATAGTAAATATTATTCGTAGTAGGTAGGGACTTGAACATTTTTGACATTACATATATTACTATAAACCTGCTTTAAACATAAGATAATTTTACACTATAATATAAACTAATAGTAGGGTTACCAGATTATACTTTTCCGAACCCGAGACATTTTGAATGGATAAATATTATATATATATCTCGTCAAATTAAAGAAAAAAAATATATATGTAAATTATATTTATAATAAAATAATATTTACTTTTTTTGGTCATTTTATATATGTATTAATGAATTATGTATACAAGTAATATAATAATAATAATTCATATTCTTGTCCACGTAGTAAAAACCATTAAATTTATGATTATCGCGGTAATTGACCCTCAAAGTCTAAAAATAAGTCTTGACAATAAAATACCTATGATTATCGTGCGTAGGTATAACCTTGCATTTTGTAATGTGTAAGAACTAGAAAGATAATGTTTTCTTATAATTGAAAATCGGTATTTTATTGAGTAAAATTTTGAAACCGGAACAAATTGCTGTCCCAAAACACTTTCTCGGGACACTGGAACACTTCACACTTGGTTAAAAACTGGTAGTGTCTCGGCAAAACCGGGACGTATGGCAAATTGGCAACCCTAACCAAGGGCGGATCCAGCATGAATTTACGGTTGGAGCACTTTATAGGAAAAATTTTATAATATAGATATATCCTCCACAAAAAAAAAAATTTGATACTAAAATTTTTATTTTTTTTCCAACGGGGGTGGCACTTGCCACCAATACCCGCCCCCTGGATCCACCCATGACCCTAACTAATAGTATTTTAATCAAAGTATAAAATATTCTAGGCTGATATATCATCAATATATATTAATAGTTTTTATTGAATTATTGTCAATAAAAAATATGTCACTCAGTTGTCTCAGTCAAAAAACTTAAAAATTTAATTCAAAGTTTTAAGTTTCTAATAAGTCGTTACTAATATAATGTTAAGAAATATTTGAGTACAATTTTATTATTATATACAACAATTTTTTACAATACATGAAGTTAGAATTTATACAAATTTTGTCAAAACTTTTATTTTTTTTATATTTTGTACTTAAAATTATTTAGTTAAAAAAAGTGTTATTCAATAAATAAATAATTTTAAAATATAATCATTTGTTTCTTTTTTGTGATATAGGTAGAATAAATGGGAATTCGTTTAGTATGCGTGAGTGCGTTACATACCGGACTGATAATTAATTTAAAAATCATAGAATTAGGTTATTTTTATTATTACAGATTACATTAAAAATCAGTAAAAAAATTTAAAAAATTGTTATTAAATTATGTTTGGTAATTCACTTTTGCTAGTAATTGCTACATCATTTAAAAATTAAAAAAAGAAATTGTATCTTGTATAGATTCATGCCTTAATAAAATAGCGTGGTAACATTTCAGCTGATGTTCTATACATTTTTCATGGGATTTTGGTTTTTAATATTCCCCGTGAACAGGTAGGTCACGTACTAAACGAATACCAGATTATGTATTACTTTGTGAATTTAAGCAACCTTTCACTCCATTGATTATCGATCATTTCTCTGAGCCAGGAGTGTTACAGCTGTATAATTGTATTATATACTAAGTCGTTTAAAGATTCATCATAAATCCGAAACCGTATGGTCTGATATATACATTGTCATTTACTATAAATTCATATTGAAATATATATTATCATACTATGTTAACAATAACCAAAGGCTCTAGTATATGATATCCCCCTGTCACTTCGTACAAATATCGCCCTCTTTGCAGACGATACTACAATTTTCTCCAAATTACGTAACATTGAAGCAATAACCACAAATCTACAAATACGTCTTGATACAATATCTTATTTGTGTAATAAATGGCGTATCCAAATAAATGCGTCAAAAAGCATAGGTGTTATTTTCAGTCTTCGTTCTTACCGCCTCCCTGCACAATTAACATTTAACAATGTAAATATACCTTGGAACTCGTTAGTAAAATACCTCGGCTTGACATAGGTTAAACGGCTAACATGGCAGCTCCATATTTCATCCAAACTTCAACAGGCATATCAGCGCCTTTCTATGTTATACCCTATTCTCAATAAAAAATCTTCAATACAGAAAAAATGCTCTCTTCTTACACTCATGCGTGTTCGGTCTGGGGGAAATGCGCGACTATTCACTTCAGTAAAATTCAAATTTTTCAAAATAAAGTGCTAGGTACGTATTATCGCAAACGCACCTTAGTTAATAAGGAACGTAAACCTACACAATGACCTTCAGACCCAGGAAATCGTACACCACATAAAAACCTCATTAAAAAACTTCTATACCTTACTGCTCAACTCTTCTGGCTCACTTCACTATAACTTCCACATACATAGATACGCCTCAACGTAGATTAAAACGTGGACATTTGTATGACCTGGTTTAACAACTTCACATATATACAGCAGTTGTATGTTACTCGTAGTCTAATATTTAAGCTTTATAACTTGTTATATATTATATCTGTTTATACTTTTATATAATTATTTATTAATTATTTTTATATCAGTTCCTTGTTATTTAAATTATAGTCAGTTACGTCTCGGCATAATTATCACTAATGCTGCATATATAGGTACTAGATAGTAAATTATCTTACTATTTAAATTTCTATGTAAATTAATAATCATGTTCAAATAGTTAAAAATGTACCATTGTAAATATCAATATATGTAGATAGCAAAGGTTAGGAACATCTTATTTTAACTAAAAAAAAAAAAAAAATGTTAACAATATACCTAATGGAAAGCCGGCTCCTGCCTCCTTCTGATTACATCGTTTACGCAGTTTTGTGTCGTTTCATTATGTATGATTCAAGATATGTATATTAATATTTTATTTATCTTTAAAAATTAGTAGCATTAAGTTAATTTAAAAATAAAA